AAAAAATTAATATAATAATATATATATATATTAATAATTTGTTTTACATATTATTTAATAGAAGTAGATAGTTGGTCAATTCCTATCACGCACCTTGACTCGTGAAAAGACGAAAAATTTTCGAGAAAGATGAATGGTCTGGTTCTCATAATGCATTCTCACCAACATGACTAAACGTCAGGTTAGTGTAATGAATTACCAGTGGTTGCTGTTTGACACGTCCGTCGATATTTTATAGGCGAGCTAACTACAAGAGTGTAACCTAACGACAACTTTTTCAAAGTGCGAAAGGCCATTCCACGTCAGTCAGTCCTTTCTATTCCTCATCACACTTATACTTTTACATATTGATCTGTGTTAAAATTAATGTGCTTGTATATGTTGATTACTATTTTATGTCAACTATAACGATCTATTTGTCTAGTTTTCCACCGTGGTAAAAGGATAATTGTTCTAACGATTTTCTCGTCCACGTGCATCCTTTTACATCGATTATAAAATTTTCTTTACATTACTTAACTGACATAATAATCGAACGTTGATATGCCAACAAAAAGTAGTAATCCGATAAATGGGCTATGATTAATGGAATAATTGAAAAGGAATAAAGAATTGTGATAAGTTAATTATTGAAAACAGTTAATGACGTACTTTTCCTCATACTTACGTCATGGATTTCATAATAGAAACCAATAGAAGTAAGTAGTGAGTGATTAAAACTCCAACACGAAGAAATTCAAGTTTATTATATAAAACTACCCACCGTGGGGGTTTCGTCAGAATTGCGAGATATTGCTTACAATGTAAATTGTAGAGAGCAAGTGCAGTTACATGTAATTTTTCATTTGAAAGTGTGCATGCACGTGAAAGTAATCATTAGAAAATACGGGTTTCTGTAGGTATACCTACGACGAATTAAATTCGAATCCGTACTTCCTGAGAATAGCGGAACATATACTAACCATAACAGAATAGTTTCATCTCAGTCTCTACTCTGAAGCACTCGACAACTTTCAATGTTAATGCTTATTGCCGCTGCTTCAATTCCATATGGCGACCGACGCTTTCTGGCTTAGTAATCTCGAAGAAATAATTTCTGCAAAATTACAGACGTTCGTTCAAATCATACTTTGCTTTTTTGAGTGAACCCCCGATTGTATCATTTACCAGTGGCGTTAATCTATAGGGTCACTAGAAAAAAGGTATTATTTTCTGGTATTTTTGAAATACAAGATGTATATAGACAGTATCTGTCTTCATGTACCTACCTGTTATCAGTTGCTTCAATTAAGTCAGAAGAATGATCAAAATTTACAACAAGTTATGAAGTAAGTACATAAACAAAGTTTTAGGACTGTTCACAGAAAAGATAATTCTATTTGCGCCACTGCAATTGCATCATAACATATTATTTACACAAGTACAAAGACTGTTAATGTTAATTAATAGTTTAGGAACTTTTGAATTTCATTATGCGATTGCAAAGTTCACTTCGAACGTTGTTTTTGTAAATAAGTCCTCTTCAGTGTTTGGCGCAAACAAAAACAATAGGCCACCTCGTTATGATCTACGATTGCCCTTAAATTTTGTTATCAACCCTCCATCAGTCCAATTAACTTGTTTACCATTCCTAGGTCAAGTATTTTCGCAAATGTCAGAAACGAATGTTGCGTGCGACCTCTAAAGAAATCTACGGAATACCTGAAATGTTCTCTAGTTCGGCGTGTCTCCAACGAAAGCTTAAAACTTATCTTAGATCTTTACTTTATTGTACATTCGCAATTCCGCACCAAACACAAAATCAAAGCCATTTGCAGAATTAATGAGTTGTGACTTTCGATATCAATCACTCCTTATCATCGATCTCTTAAGCGCTAATGACACTTTGTTATAATCTTCCATTGGACAAATTTGTCAAAAGATTTCGGTAATTGCTCTACAATGTACAGTTCTGGCCACTGTTGTGTAATCAGTTTTTTTCCATCTGGTGTCGTTAAAGTCATACTAATGCTGCAAGTAGAGGTAGTTTAGGACTCCATGGAACACGACCTTGGGCTTAGCAGTGACAAAACTGCGACTGTTCATTTTGTTGTCGTCGTTTACAAGCTTATCAGTTAAGTAAATGTTTCTAAAGCAATAATGAAGAACATTTTAAAATACGTTTAACATAACGCCATTAGCAACAGCATTTCTTCCAATTTAATTATTAACAAATGTGTGTTATTAAATTCTGTGTAACGCACCTATACGTATAACATTATTGGCAGTTTACTTCATTTCTAAAAAAAAGTATCGGAAAACTATTTTGTGTTTAATAACCGTAGTCCTTTGTGATTACAGGATAATTTTGAGGCAGCGAAGGGACAGGAGTGTTCGTACCTTTTACGTAGCTTCCAATGACGGACTGTTGCTTTACATATTTTTTTCTCTGGCCTTTTGTGCTTTTAAATTCGCTCATTTAAAGCTTGGTAGCAAATGGTGCACACCCGTATGCGTACTTTGGTACGTGTTTGTAATTTAGAATCGGCCGAATACACCGAACATGTGGGGGAGTCCTCTTTATATTGAGGGTCGAAAATGTTTAATTAAACGTTCTGTAACGTTTTAATTAAAAATTAAAAAACCAAAAATAGAACGAGTAATCGGATACAAAATTATATATTCTAAACGATTGTAGCAACTGTTTTAAAGTGCATTATCTACGTATTTGTGGGGTTCTATCTCTATCCGAAGTATCCGATGCACCCATGTGTACATAGCAAGCCATTCGAAGATATAAGGTCTGGTTTTAGGCCGACTATCTTAACAGTTTATAAAATTTACGTATTTTATTTAGGCATTGCTGGTGTCAGAAATTAATATAAAATCCTTATTTACTTTCTGTAAATGTTTGCATCTCGGTTTCCACAAACGGTAGGTTAGCACCCTAAGTGCGCCCCTAATAATGACATCATCCATGAATAATGCACAGTCTCTAATTACAACTGAAAGTGCCTCAGAGGTGTGTATCGAACTCCTGTCTCTCTGTCAATCATTTTGAAATGCTTATTATAAGTAGATATACTCCGTCATTGTAAATATTTTATCACATTTCTTCCTCTCCTTGACTTACGTGTTTTAGTGTGAGGGAACGACATCAAAAAAGAAAATTGAAACATCAGGCTTTTTGAAGTGAAACTTCTATATAGACAACGGGGTATTACGATTTTTTTTGTCACGAAAGAGCGTTACGGTCGCTAGGAGGGGGTAGACGGTATATCGGGTGGTGAAAGGCGGCAGCGGTGGAGGGGCAGAGAAGGCAACGGCTGTATTAGATGGATATAATGCGCAGCGGGGAGTCCACTAGAGTCCCGACGGCGTGTGCTGTGCTCAGCTGTTGTTTTCTTACCTCTATTCTCCACGTTGCTGGGTATCATTGCCTCTATTTGCGGTCTGTGTAAAAACTAAATGATAATTGACAGTAAACCTGTGAAAACAAAATATGTGCTGATTGTTAACGAACGTGTTCAATTTGAAAACCAGCCCGTAAAACTTCAAGTAAAAATTTTTCTTGCGATTCGTTTTTCCAGTTGTCCGTTGAGGTTTCACTTCTACTATGTGTCCCAACGCACATTTCGTTTTTCTTTTTATTTTCTTCGTAATTAATTCTACACCTACTACCTACTACGAGGTTATAATTTTAAAGTAGAATTTCAATCTACTTGAAATAACGACGGAAAAAGTATCTAAAGGGAATTAGCTATAGCGAAAAGTCGATCCATTCGGATTCTGTACCATTAAAGTTTAGGGATTTAAATAAAGTAGATGAAGTAGAACATAAGCTCCTTAAACGTCTAAAGAAAACTTAATGATAGTCAAAGAAAGCGAAGCATCTCGTTGATGAGAAGTGGAGTTAACGACGACTTGGGGAAGTCTTTATAACAGTAAATTAACCGTGCAAGCCAGGTTAGACATACATATATGTTATTATGATTCATTTCTACTTTAAAGTTGATGAAACGGTACGTTTAGGGCCTCCTCTGAGAATATCTTCTAAGCCTTCTTTAAGCTTACAAACATCTTAAATAAATTAAACAACACAAACATCCCTTATTAGAGAGACATATACTTGAATAAATAGCGAAATATATATTAAAATATAAACTTTTGACTAAATACGTTCAATTGGATGGTTCTGGATATTTTCTAAAAATCTCATGTCTGTACTTCTTGCAAAAATTGTCCCAAATCCCTAAACAATTTGCAAACATAATCTGATGTATGTAGATTCTTTTATACTCCTGCTTTTGTTTCTGACATGCCTCTAACTAGCCTCTGATCTTCAATATTATCGCATATCTGTAATACTTACGCTCATACACATATGTACCATTATATCCCCCAATGGTATTAGTTTGTCTTTTAAAACTAAACCTCACAACAGCAATAAAGATAGAAAACAGAATCGTTTAAGGGACAATTTATGTTTTTTTTTTGACAGTCAATTTATCGGTTTTACCTACAGTAAAGTTGGATTGAGTTAGATTGTCTATTACAAATTCATCAAGTGTAACAGATGATCCTTCGGGAAAACCAAATGAGCCTAGACCAACGTAATGGGAAGTTCGAAATCGATTTATGTTAAGTGTTTTCTGACTTAATGACAATTTAACTGTTTTAATTACGATTTTATTTTACCTATTGTCTATCTGCCTTTTCTGAAACATTTTTGATTGCCTGCTCTCTTGGGGATGAAAATAGAGATTGTTAAGTTAAGAAACGTCTGTAGTTATTTGTAAAAATTTACTAAATAGTCATTAGATACCGGCATTAGTAATATTAAAATTGATTTTTCTTATTTTCAGAAGAAAGCCAAATGATTTGAAATATGCAGGATCAGGAAAACTCTACTGACTTTGAAAGCCTCTCTTCAGTTTCATCTTCGAAGAATCAAACCACTCCCATCTTTTCTATTGGATTAGAATTCATAACGCAATGGTAAGTTTTTTCTAATTACAACGAAAACTATTTAAATGTTTAATTGAATATGTGCAATGTTCGTTAACATTTCTTTTGAGTTAACTGAATTTCGTAGTTGACTTATTTTAATATGATAACTGAGAAGTGCATCTAGAATCAGTATTTCACCCTAACATGGGGAGGATATAGGAGTTCAAGCCTCCTCCTTTTCGAAAATTTTGTTGCGCACGTAAAAATTAATATCCATAATACAGGACGATCACATTCAGATGTTGTGCTGACGCTCAGTCCATTTATTAACTGTGCTGGTGCCGTGTATATTTCCATATTTTATTATGACAGATGATCGTAAGTCCGTAAGCGTGACTTGTGCTAGTATTGATTATATGCATTTAATAAAATCGCATCCTGGTTACAATGCTGCAACACGCTGGCCAATAAATTCTTATCTAATGTAACATTTACGACCAATCGCCTTTATTTTAGTTCCTGCATAGTCGAACAGGACCTAAACATTTGCCTTCAGGACATTGTGTACTGTACTAACTATAACATGATTGATAAATAACTAATTCATGTCGATGTTTACGCTCTAAAATCCGTGAAGCGAGATGATTAAATTCCGATGTTGCGCTGACATACAGTACATTTAATAGCTGTGCTGGTGCCGTGTATATTTACGGATTTTATCGCGACAGGAGATCGTAAGCGTGACTTGAGCTGGTGTTGACTATACATCTTTAGTAAAATCGTATTCTACAATATTTATATGTGTCCGATCACCTTTAGTTTTAGTTCCTACAGAGTTGCACAGGATCTAAACATTTGCCTTCAGGACATTGTGTATTGCACTAACTATAACATGATTGATAAATAACTAATTCATGTCGATGTTTACGATCTAAAATCCGTAAACCGAGATGATTAAATTCCGATGTTGCGCTGACATGCAGTACATTTAATAGCTGTGCTGGTGCCGTGTATATTTGCGGATGTTATCGTGACAGGAGATCGTAAACGTGACTTAAGCTGGTATTGACTATAAATCTTTAGTAAAATCGTATTCTACAATATTTATATATGTCCGATCACCTTTAGTTCCTTCAGAGTTGAACAGGATCTAAACATTTGCCTTCAGGACATTGTGTATTGCACTATAACTATACCATAACTGATAAATAATTAATTCATGTCAATGTTTGCGAGTACCAGGCATCAATTCTTCCCTTTACGTGACGCTCTAGAGGATTTCGTATTACTAGAATTTGAACTGTACCTACGTCATTCGAGAGACATGTTTACCTTTCGCTCTAATGAAACGTGGTAGGCGTGGACGGGGGTGCGATAGGTTCGAAACGTGTAGTATTGAATCGAAATCGAATTGGCTTGGTATCTGGAGGTACAAGGCTCTGGAATTACCGGGATGACGGCTATCGACTGTTTGATGGAATTCATTACGTTAATTGCGAAACAGACTTCTTTATTTAATACCGGGATTGCACATCCTGGATCAAAAACAGTAGCGTTTTTTTGTTCATATTTGATAATGACTTTATTTTCATACTATTTATTTTGATCACGAGGACTATTCAATCAATTTAATGGGAATAATCCTGTTGATTAATATAAGGGATAGGAATACGAAGATGTATCTTTCCGATTACGATCTGTATCTATAAATTTTCTGACCGGACTGATCTGCCTTATGGGCCAGCAAATCTACAATTTTTGTAGATCTAGAAACAGTTCTCGTAACTTTTCATTTTATTTTATTACATATTAAAATCATTATTAATAAGTAGGTACTCATAATATAAACTCATAACAAACATAAGTAAATAATATTTTATTATCCTGTAAATATCAGGTAAAACAGCAAGGATATTCGATCGTACCCAAAATCAGGACGAAACCGTTATCCTTATTTAATTTATTAGGGTAGAAACCAGTAAAACGTTTGTGTTAGCATAAGGAAAATGTTGGAGTTCATCCTGCTCTGTTAATTGCAGTTTAAATATACGATTGCAAAGTTGTGGATGTTGCCACTGGGATTCCGGAATATTATTCAGTATCCTCTTATTTGATGATAAGCCAGAGATATCATTAACGTAGATATTTGCTTGACGACAACTAATAATAAGTATTTAGGTTAATCGAATATTTTCTTTTTGTTGAACTAGCTTCAGAGGAAGTTGATTTTGAAATGTTTTATTCAACTCGATTTTAACGTTGTGGAGATTTTGTTCCTTCTACAGAATACTAATGCCCTTACGGACATATAAAAGCTTAATTTGATTGAAGAAGTGGGTTACAATAACTGATTAAGTTGACAAATCGTTTTTAAGAACAGTTAAGCCTTAAGAGAATAAAGTTCAATTCACTTAAAATTAAATGCAAATAGAGAAAATGTTTTTTATTCAAAGCATTTGCTTATTTAAGTAGATTGACTAAGCGTCAATAAACAAAGAAGTAGGAAAGCTGTTTGTGCGGTGTATCAAATCGCAACGGGATTTGGGTGAAATCTACAAGCAATATCAGTACGTCAAAGTACAATACGTTTCATTGGAATTGTATTATTCGCTGTGCAGTTGTACAAGAGCTTATTATGTATTATGTCACACAATCTACACAGACGGCACCCCTCTTGTATGACACTTCCTGCAATACAGACAGGGATTTTGTCGATCAGGCTAGTAGAATATTAACATTTTTCATGTATGCAGGTATATTTGTAGATAAACCGTGTTAAGTATTAAAATTTGTATCGCCTGTAAGGAAAAACGTGTTGTGTTAAGAATCCGTGTTAACAGAGAATACCATGTTATAAAAGAGTCAATCCAAGTATTTAGTGGAAAACGTGTTATGTCAACAATATTGAGTGTTAATCGGGTTCTGTCAGGTTAATGGTAATCGTAATGTTATAATTTCGTTCTGCAATATACCCTGTTAGTTAAAAGCATAGATAAACGGTGTTAAGTTTGTACAATGCCGTGTTAATGGGGTTTTCGTACCGTGTTATATGGTAGATATTACCGGTCTCGTTCTTACAAGTTAATGTTGCAGGATACCGTGTTATGTATGTGTTATCGAATTTATTGCACCATGTTAAGTAGGAAAGGTGTTTTATTAATCACGTTCCGTGTTGTGAAGGAGCTACCACACTATTGTGCATAATGGTCAATGACAATCGTGTTAATAGAAATCCGTGTTATGAAGTAGTTATTACATTATCTGCATCGCGTATAGGGAAAAACGTGTTGTGTTAAGAATCCGTGTTAACAGAATACCATGTTATAAAAGAGTCAATCCAAGTATTTAGTGGAAAACGTGTTATGTCAACAATATTGAGTGTTAATCGGGTTCTGTCAGGTTAATGGTAATCGTAATGTTATAATTTCGTTCTGCAATATACCCTGTTAGTTAAAAGCATAGATAAACGGTGTTAAGTTTGTACAATGCCGTGTTAATGGGGTTTTCGTACCGTGTTATATGGTAGATATTACCGGTCTCGTTCTTACAAGTTAATGTTGCAGGATACCGTGTTATGTATGTGTTATCGAATTTATTGCACCATGTTAAGTAGGAAAGGTGTTTTATTAATCACGTTCCGTGTTGTGAAGGAGCTACCACACTATTGTGCATAATGGTCAATTACAATCGTGTTAATAGAAATCCGTGTTACGAAGTAATTATTACATTATCTGCATCGCGTATAGGGAAAAGCTTGTTGTGTTAAGATTCCGTGTTAACAGAATACCGTGTTGTAAAAGAATCATTTCATTATTTCCAAGTATTTGTGTGAAAAATGTGTTGTACCGACAATGCTGCGTGCTAACAGTTTAACGACTATCATATTGTGAATTTACGAGTAATCACACTTTTTACACTGTGTATCGTATCTTTTGTAGGGAATTTCGCCACTTTTAGCACATGTATGAAAAACATCAGAAATCGTTTTATCAGTGCAGTCCCTACAAGAACAGTTGAATCCGTCTGATAGAGTTCTTTGCCTAGTTTAGGATTGGTTAGGTATCTGTCACGTTTAAAGTCATCAACTGTCACCTATTATCTTTCCCATTGTGCACATTTCCTTTCAGATTTTACACGGTGCAGTTTGTCTTTGACTACGTTATTTCGATGTTTAACGTCCGTCCCTTTGATATTCATTCAACTCCTTCAGTTCTCGGACGTTCCCAAGATTCCGTCGCACTCTGTTCGTTCGTTCCTTTCGAGAATTGCAGCTTTGTCTGCTTTCTCTTATTGTTTCCAGTAATTGTTTGGTGCCTGGAGCGTTTTATAATTATTGTCCTTGTCTTCTCGAGGAATCGGGGAATGGTATAGAATAGTCAGAGATAATTTGATTCTCTATTCATCGAAAACTTAGTGGCTTAATAAATATCACAAAGAACTTTTACCTACGAATTGTATTTCCATTTAATCTTGTTAGGACTTCATTGTAACCAATTTTGGAACAATACACTTGTACATAACTGTTACCAACTTGTTTTACCAATATATATTAGATGTATTGAATTGGTGATAGGAAAACGTAGGGTAAGAAGTCAAACAGCATTCTTGACATTAATTATTCTCTTCTTCTTTGTGAGATTTTTGGGCACTGTGTGCAAGGATGTGACAGTTTTTTTGGCGTACCTATTCGACTAATATGAAAGAGATTGTAAGACTTCTGTAGACACACTTGAGTCTTGAACCAGACGAAGCTCATGAAAATAGTAGAAATTGGCGTTTCACATTGGTTTGGAGCAATTGAAACCAACCGGCAGGATTCAAACCATAATATTTTCTTGTATGAGAGTAGTATTTACGTCACGACCAATAGACCTCCTTCGGTTTGTTTCAGATTATACAATAATCAACAGATGGTAAAATACTTTATAGGCAACATGATTAGATATTTGAAATTTTAATTTAGGCATTAGCAGAACTTAAAACTACTGTCTGAAATATTAGATAAAAAGTGTATTGTCCGGGTCTGTGGTCACACTGTACATATTTGT